TACTCTTTGTATAAATGCAGGTCAATCCCGCAGATGTCATCATTTTGGAAGGGATCCTAGTTCTCCATGATTCTCGTGTACGTGATCTTATGAACATGAAGATCTTTGTCGATACAGGTTCCTGCTTTGAGCTATATCGCCTCCAATATCATTGAAATCATCAATATGGATTGTGGCTTCTAGCTATTGTCAAACTACCTTTTGCTCTTGAAGGATGTCTGCATGGTTTCTGTCCTTTCTTTTTTTCTTTCTTTCCTTGTTCTTCACCAAAGACATCTTATAGAAAATCATAAATCATCACACATTGATTTTTGGTATACCTGTTCCCAAGAGATGCATTTGGTTCCCTCATTATTTTAGAAGTTCGAGCATACAAAAAGGTTTAATTCACTAGGATTGAAGTAACATCGATATGCTGGTGGCGTTAGTGTATGAAGGTTTCTTAACAAAGCTACTTCCCGAGTGAAAACTTTCCATTATCACTGAACTTCTCTCCAACCAGATAAGGTATATGAAGGAAAAATAATAAATAAGACATTACATGTAAGCATACGAATAATTTATTTATATTTTTCAGAAAGAACTTGACAAGATGAATGTTATATATATATATATGTATGTATGTATGTATTTTTTAATTATTATTATTTTATCTTTTTTTTTTGTGCCTGCATATCTTCCTGATCGTCTAATTTTTTAATCAACAATTCAAGGCCTTTTTTCCAGAAGTATTGACATATTGTGGGAATAAGATTTACAGCTTGGTCGACACAAAGTAGTAGATGTTTTCTTAAAATTGCAAGAAATATGAAATAAGATTCTCATGTCCTATGGCTCGAAATTCTCTTCAAAGTTGTGTGCTGTGATGAAAAATTAAATATTCAGGGTTGTTTCTTAATATATGATTCAACCATTCAATTTATAATTTTTTCTTCATTTTGCATTATTCTATGACCATCTCTAAAATATCACCAGTACAGACTCCGACGTACGACTTGCAAGGAGGATAAAACGTGATACCGTAGAGAGGGGCAGAAACATTGAATATGTGCTTGACCAAGTCAGTATGCTATCTGCTTTTTTAGCTTTCTTGGTGCCCTTATTATTTGTGGCTGGGAGATCATATGCACATTATATTTTTGCATATGTTAAAAAGTATTTTGTCATGGTTTGGCCTGATAGAAGTATAATGCGCACTGAACTGCATTTGGATTTACGATGAAATGTATTTTCTGATGCAATCTGATGTAGAAGTGGAAAGAGATGAATAAATAAAGTACAATGTGCAGCAATCCTAACCTGGAAATATTGATGAATTCCGTTAATTAAATTATAATTTGTTTGAAATTTTGTGTTTGATGCCTACTGCCGGTAATTATGCAAGTTATCTGGAACAGAATTTGTTATTACGCTGGTCATCACTAATTTTAAAATAAACAAAACATGGCAAGAATGTTGTGCAAGACTCTGATTATCATGTTATTCCTGTAGCTAACCATATTACGGGGGTTTGCAGTATGCCAAGTATGTGAAGCCTAGTTTTGAGGAATTTATACTCCCATCAATGAAGCATGCCGATGTTATAATTCCTCGAGGAGCAGATAATGATGTTGCGATTGACTTGATAGTACAACATATTTGCACAAAGCTTGGGCAACACAATCTCTGCAAAATATATCCAAATGTTTTTGTTATTTATTCGACATTTCAGGTAATTTTGCCCTCATGTTGGCTCCTGTAATTGGTTTGGTTTGAACATAACTTTCAAAAATTTAGGCTGTTACTTTGGAACAAAAAGTAAAACAAATTTTACCTTTTGTCTAGATAAAAGGGATGCACACGCTTGTACGGGATGCCAAAACAACCAAACATGATTTTGTTTTTTATGCTGACAGGCTCATCCGCTTGGTATGGCAGTTTTACGTAAAACCTATGTTGATGAGTTTTCCTTTTTTCATATAATGCAATTGGTTTTGACTGATGTTCTAGGTTGTGGAACACGGTTTAGGTCACCTTCCGTTCACTGAAAAACAAATCATTACTCCTACAGGTAACTTGTGCTATGAAAAGGGAAAAGATAACAAAAGAAAAATACTTAGTGGTCACTGATATGGACGATAATTCTTTTGCCTTGTGGTTCCTTGATGTTTTAGAATAATTTATATGCCTTTTTTAAACTTCTTACAGGATCTGTATACAGCGGAGTTGTTTTCTGTAGAAGGTTGTGTGGTGTGTCAGTCATTAGAAGGTATTTATCTCCTTGGTTTTGTGAGTAATGAAAGAACTTGAACTCCTCTACATCATATCCTTTCACTTTATTTGCATCTAAGCAGTTTTTGACATTCAGACTTGAAACATGAAGTTTAGAAGTTTGGGGCAAATAACTAATTGAATAATTATTCCGGTAGATGTATATAGCATACAGGCACAACATGACATGAATACTTCAACACACAGTTTTTCAAAACATGGACATGTTGGGGATACTTCGATTAAAATACTACCAAAATATAAATTAATATATTAACCCTGTTTGACACAGATTAAAATCAGATTTTTAGCAAATTTTGATAAATTTGATGGAATGTGAGATTGAAAGGTTGGAAGTCCTATGGAATGTGCTGCTAAAATTAATTTTTGACTTTGATTTAGATTTTAATCAAATCTTTTAGTGGCACCAAACAGAGGCATTATGTATTTTTTAGTTTGGAGGTTGAACTTTATGAATAGCGCTCATGAACTCGTAATGTATACTCATGGTAACAACGAACATAAAACATGACAGATTCTTTATGCAGATGAATATAACTAAACATCGCAGAAGACACAAAAAATAAACTTCATTCAGATTTGATGACTAGAAATGATATGATTCCTCTTAGATTGGAGAATAGAGCAGAGTTTTTAATCAGCTGAATTTTCTAAGATTCCTATTCAAGGAAACCAGGGTATATATGAGAAGCTATATTTCTGACTGTCATTTCTCTCGAGCACACTCAGATTTTTATTTATTTATTTATTATTATTATTATTTTGGAGAATAGAGCAACGAAACGAGGATCACAAGAAAATTATGAATTTTTTGCCCTCTTGAAATTATCTGTGTATTTATACTTGCTTTCCGCTATCTATATTCTTGGTGTTTAATGGCTTTTAACTTTTCTGGCACTAGTGGTGAAAGCATGGAGAATGCCCTGAGAGCCTGTTGTAAGGGAATTAAAATTGGCAAAATCCTAATCCACAGAGAGGGCAAAGATGGTCGTCAGGTTCGTGTAACCAATTAAGAGTATGTTTAGTATGTAATACTTGACAGAACTTGACAACTCAATGTCTTGATATTGTAAAACTAGTGCTGTCAAGTGTATCTTATCGAATATCCACAAATGCTGCCATTCTCAACCCTTTGTGGAACCAAGGGTATGTTTGGTATGTAATATTGGATAGATCTTGACAACACAATGTCTTGATATTGTAAAGCTAGTGTTGTCCAGTGTATCTTACCAAATATCCCACAAATAGTCTTACAAATGTTGCCATTCTCAACCCTTTCTCCTCTTTTAGAATTTCTCATGCAACAAAATTGCTGCAGTTAATCTATGAGAAGCTACCATCAGACATTGCAAGTCGCCACGTACTATTGCTCGACCCAGTTCTTGCCTCAGGTTAGTTACACAATCCGGTTACTTGATGACATAAAAGTACCAAACATGTTATTGATTGCTTGTACTATTATCAGGGCATTCTGCCGTTGAGGCTATATCCGTGTTGCTGAGCAAGGGTGTTGTTGAATCGAACATCATCTTCCTAAATCTTATTTCAGTGAGTCAATATACTATTATCTAACTTCATTTAAATTCCAAAATGCTGTAGACATTAACATGTATTAGGTTTTCGCTAAATGATCCCATGACGATGCAGGCTCCCGAAGGAATACATGCTGTTTGTAAGAAGTTTCCAAGGCTGAAAATTGTAACTTCAGAGATAGATGTGTCCCTCAACAAGGATCTGCGTGTGATTCCGGGCATGGGCGAGTTTGGGGATCGCTACTTTGGAACTGGTGTCTAGCAACATTTGCGACCAAGACATCCAGATGCGATTTCTTCTTGTCATCAACTTTTCATAGGAGTCCAATAGGAATTCATCCATAGAAAGAAACAATAAAATCAACATAGGAGTATGAGTAATAATCCATTTATGGCATGTGTAGTAAGGAGGAATACATAGAATTGAACAATAATAAGGAAGAAAAATAAGTTAAAACCTTAGTGTACTAGTTATATCGAGTACTATCTATCATGTCTAGAATCAATGAATTATGATAGAGCATCAAATATGCCATTGCTCTATTCCCATATCCCGATTTGAAATTTGAAAAGGATGTGTATGACTTGAGAAGCTTGTTTCTAAAAACTCCCCACCCACAAATGCATATATTATGATCCTATAATTTTTTCTCGGCGTGTTGTTGATTGATGAAATATGATTATATAACATCCATCTTGTCACGCAAAGCAAAGTGAACACTTGAATCTTTTAAAATTCTTCGCTGCATATAGATCTCTGCCTTTCAATTTGTTTGGCACTTGAGTCCCTAGATATAGATTATGTTGACAATTTTATAAAAATGTTAAAAAGGTGGTTATGCCTTTATTTTCTATCAAAAAAGTAAAGTAGAAATCTTTTCCTGGGCCTAAAGCCAAACACCCACCTCATAGCCACCTCCTCTGTCGGATTTGCTAGAATTGAGCTCACATTTTGATGACTTGGTCGGGGACCTTTTGCCTCGACAACACTTTGGTGCATCCTTATGAGTCCAAAGCTCGAATGACCAGTTTGGTACAAGCGCTCATGATGCCAAGGTAAGGATATACACTTATCGGTGAACAGTTACTTACCGATTCTCCAAATAGGATAGCCCATGTCACCAAGGATAAAACTTGTGGAAATTACACAAAACCAAAATTTTAAAGATTCAATTTCAAAAATTTGATATAAAATTTATTTATACAAAAATTAGATATTAATTCAAATTTTTAATACTACCCAAACCCTAAAAATCCCAAATCATTATCAACATCTTCCTTCTCTTTCTCTTTCTCTTCGACAGTTTCGACATCAACAAGTAAAACAAAGGTTGCTCCTGCGACCAACCAGTAAGCTGAACATGATCGGCAACGGTAGCAGCACCACTGCACATGATCGTAGCGTGGCGCCACGAGTTCAAGTGTAGCAGTGCTACTGCTGCTCTCTCTCTCCACTCCCTCCTCCCTTTCTCAATTTTCTTTCTGCCACGACGTATGGCTGTGTAAATGGTGTTGGTGGTGGTGCTGTGTGGGTGTGGAGATGGATCTGTGGTGAGGTAGTGGTTGGGTGTGGTGTAAATGGAGATAGAGAAGATGGTGGTGGTGGTTGTGTGCTGGGGTGGTGTGGTGTGCGGTGGTGGTATGTGGTGATGGTGGATCTGTGTGGTGTGTGCGGTACAGTGTTGGTGTTGGTGGTGGTGTGCGGTGGTGGAATGTGGTGATAGTGGACCTGTGGAGTGTGGTGTAGTGCGGTGTTGGTGGTGGTGTACGGTGGTGGTGCTGTATGGGCGTAGCAGTGGATCTGTGGCGAGGTGGTGGTTGGGTGTGGTGTAAATGGAGATAGAGAATATGGTAGTGGTGGTGTGCTGTGGGTGATGCAGTGGTGGTATGTGGTGGTGGTGGATCTGTGTTGCAACGGCAGGGGCGATGGTGGTAGGGTTGGGGATTTTTTTTTAGGTTGTAGGATGGGGTGGTGGTGTTGTAGTGGTTGTTAGTGGATAGTGGTGGTCGTAGTGATGTCGGTATTTTTTAGATGATGGTTTGCTGCTAGGAGGTAGTGGTGGTGGTTCCGGCAATCGGGTTTTAGTTGCCATGCTGGTGGTGATAGTGGTGAAGCGGTAGTCACAAGTGTTGATGGTGGTCACAGATTATTTGGTTGTTTGTGACTATTAAATTGATTATTTTGTGACCGATAAACAACATTCGACTAATGAAAAAGATAAATTGTGACCTAAAAAATTGTTAATTTGCGACTATCTAATAAGTTGTGATTTATAATATTTGTGATTTGTAACCGATAAATAAATCGTGACGTATAAATTTTTTATTTGTGATCGATGAACAAATTATGGCCTTTAAATGTTTTTGAATTGTGACATTAAAATAATTTGTGACATATAAAATTTGTAATTTGTAATTTGTGACTAATGAATAATGTGACTTATTAATTTGATAGATTTGTGATCGATGAATAAATTGTGACGTATAAAATTTTCGATTTGTGACCGATAAACAAATTGTGACTTATAAATTTTTTGAATTGTGGCTGTAAGATAATTTGTAACATGAAAATTGTGATTTATGACCAATTAATAATATGTGAGCAATTTTATGAAATTTGTGACCAAATTATATGAAATTGTGACATTAATATATTTAATTAATTAATTTTAAAATAAAATTAAAAAAAAATAAGAGATTTGAAATTTTAAACTTAGTTTTTTAAGTTTGAAATTGGTGAAACTTAACCTTTTAGTTATAATATATTCCAATAAAACATTACTCACTGTACAATTTTTTTTAAAAAAAAATCAACCTTCTCACAACTTTATTGTGCAATCACATATTCTATTGCTGCTTAAACTCTATTAATCTTAGTCCTTGTTTGAGCTCCATTAAAATCAAATTTTGGAAAAAAAAAATGTATTTTGGAATAGTGATTTTTTGAAGAGTATGTGATTAAAAAATAAGAAATTTTTTAAAATTTATATGTAATATTATTTTAGTAGAAGATGTGTAGTTGAAAAGAAAAGAGAATAATATATTATAATAAAGTGGAGCCCAATCAGTGGCTTAATCACTAATGGTTAATTTTAACATATCCATAAAGTTTGATACAAAAAGTGAATGAGCTCGAGATGTGAAATACCTCGTTGAATAATCATGCCATCTAATTCCCTGTTTGACCCACATTATTTTAAAATTCATTTTCAATCACACACACACACACACACACACACATATATATATATATATATAAAAGAGTCAAGGATGGTGGCACTATTCCCAAGCACTATTCATAAGGAGCCAGCTCGACTTGGCTCGGCTAAGCAGTTTTTTTTTTTTT